CTTCCAACCCAAACCATTCCCCAATTCCATGATCTTTCCTAGAGGAAGGTGCCCCTGCCCGTGGCAGGAGTTGGAACTGGATGGTCCCTAAGGTCCTTCCAACCCAAACCATTCCCCAATTCCATGATCTTTCCTAGAGGAAGGTGCCCCTGCCCATGGCAGAGGGGTGGAACTGGACCACCCCTGAGGTCCCTTCCAACCCAAACCACTCCACAATCCCACGATTCTCTGACTCCCAGGTTCCCAGAGCAGCCTCCCCGTGACCAAACTCATCCTCGGCACCTTCTCACACCGTCCCAACTCCGCCGACACGGAAACTCCCGGTGCCACGAGCCGGCTGCGGCCGAATTCCCTGCCAGATCCCTGCAGGAGGAGGGAACGAACGCTCCTGAGAAGGCTCCCGACAGCTCCAGGGCCGTGCCTCGGTGGATCCACCCTCCCTGTGCCCCGGCCGTGGCTCCAGAGCCCGCCCTGGGCTGCCCGGGGACCCTGGGAGAGCCACGACACTCCTGCGGGAGGTCCCTGACACGTAATTAAACGCTGTGGTGAAACCCGACCGTAAACAAGCCATGAATAAAAACCCCTTGAATTATTTTGCCAAACTATAATTACACAATAAGGAAGCAGATTAATTAAGTAAAATACAAGTCCTGAAACCGAAGCTTGCAAGCAAAGCAGTTTATTTTAATTTCCACATTATTTCGCATGAGATACAAGTGTTTGCTGTGGGTTTGAAATGTTGGAAGCCATTCCTCGCTGCCAGGCAGGCCAAACCCAGCGGATAAATTAAATTTTTGCATCTCAGGCACCTCCTGAAATGTATATAAGGGGAAGGGCCGCGCCTCGGAGGAGCCACAGGAGATCTCCTCTGCCTCTCCCGCCGCTCCCGCCGCCGCTCCCGCCGCCATGAGTCGACAGTGCTACACCTCGGGCTCCATCCTGGGCCGACGGGGCTTCTCCTCGGCCTCGGCCGTGTGCGGGCTGGGCCGCGGCAGCGCCGGCTCGGCCTCGGCGTGCCAGCCCTCGGGCCGGCGCTGCGGCCTGGGCGGCTTCAGCAGCCGCAGCGTCTGCGACCTGGGCCGGGGGCAACGCATCTCCTTCGGCTGCCGCGGGGGGGTCCTGGGCGGCCCCGCCGTCGGGCGCTGCGGCGTCGCCTTCGGGCCCCCGGGGCGCTTCGGCGTGGGCGCCGTCGTGGGCTTCGGCGGCGGCTGCGGCGGCTTCGGCGGCCTGGGCGGCTTCCGCGGGCTGGGCGACGGCGTGGCCGTGGGGGGCTACGGCGGCGGGCTCGGCGTGGGCCTGGGCGTGGGCACGGGCCGGTCCGAGGGCATCCGCGGCGTCAGCATCCACCCCGAGCTGCTGAAGCCCCTGTGCGTGGGCGTGGACCCCGAGGAGTGCCAAGTGAGGACCCACGAGAAGGAGCAGATCAAGAACCTCAACAACCAGTTCGCCTGCTTCATCGACAAGGTGAGGGGCAGGGGCAGGGGCAGGGCAGGGGCAGGGGCAGGGTGAGGGTTAACGGCTCCCTCTGTCCCCGTGTCCCCACGCTCCGAGGGCTGTGGTGTCCCCAGGGGGCTCCTTCCAGTGGGAAAGATCATGGAATCGTGGAACGGGTTGAGTTGGGTTGAGAAGGATCTTAAACATGATCCAGTTCCAGCCCCTGCCACGGGCAGGGACACTTTCCTCTAGGAAAGATCGTGGAGTCGTGGAGTGGTTTCAGTTGGAAGCATCTGAAAGATGATCCAGTTCCACCCCCTGCCGTGGGATGCCTTTCATGAGGAAAGATCATGGAATTATGGAATGGTTTGGGTCGGAAAGGACCTTAAAGATGATCCAGTTCCACCCCCTGCCATGGACAGGGACCCCTTCCAGTAGGAAAGCTCATGGAATCATGGAATGGCTGGGTGGGAAGGGACCTTAGAGACGATCCAGAGACGCCCCAGGAGATATTTCTCCCGGCAGCCTGACATCCAAACCTTTCTGATGGAGCAGGGCGGGCCTGACCTGGGGACACTTTGGATTTAAGCCTCGCACTGAGGCAACCCCACGGGTGCTGCTCCTCTGGATGGTCACCAACCCACCAAAGAGCTCCAGCAGGGGCAGCTCCAGGGATTCAGTAAATCCAGAGCTGTGGGAGAAGGGGATGGAGGCACGGGAATGTAAAGAGGCAAACCAGGAAGTTTTATTCCAAGTGCAGAACCTGACGTTGTTCTCACAACTCTGTGAATCCCGAAGGACTTTTGCATTCTTAAAGCTGTGCTTCATCGAGATGGGGAAGGACAGACCTGGCTAAAATCAAATGTATAATTTTAATTTCTCTGTCCCTCCGCTCTGGGAATGAAACGATTTGGTGATTTCCTAAGAACATGTAATTTATCATTGTTTCCTTGGCTAAATTGAAGGGTTTTTGTGCCTGTTCAGAGACCCGCTCTGGGAAATGATTTTTCAAACGGCAAAGAAAATTTGCTGTGTCTGATCTGCTCCTGCTTTTCCCTGGGAGTTGTTCAGCAGCTGGAAAAACCGAACCAACCCAGGAGGAGCAGTTCCCAGCTGGAGAAATGACTTATTCATGACCCATCAAGGCTCTCAGAGAGCCTTTAATCTGGCAGTGAAAGGCATGATAAGTACCCGTGGTTAGAGCTGAAATCAGATACACCCAAATGAGATCCAGGATGGGGCTGTCGGTGCTCAGAGAGGCTCGTTCCTGCCCTGGATGGGGCTGTGGATCCTCCAAGGAAGGGGAGGTGTCTGGTTGAGCCCAGATCGGCCTCAGCACAGAGCACAGGCTTTGATGTTGCCCAGCCTGTGATACGAGTCCTGGGTGGGACCAGCCCGAGCTCACAGGAGGTGCCGGGCCCGCTCCACCATTTGCAATTCGGATTTTTGCCTTTTGCAAGTGGAGAAACCCCTTTTTTGGCCGGGCCAGGAGGGGGTTTCCTGACTGTCCCAACCCCTCCCGTCCCCAGGTGAGGCTGCTGGAGCAGCAGAACAAGGTGCTGACCACCAAGTGGGAGCTGCTGCAGCAGTATGTCCTGCCAGCCTCCCGCAGGAGCCTGGAGCCCGTGTTCGAGAACTTCATCTGCAACCTGAGGAAGCAGCTGGAATGTGTGATGGGGGAGAGGGAGCGGCTGGAGAACGAGGAGCGCTGCCTCCGGGACCTGGTCCAGGAGTTCAAGTGCAAGTAAGTCCCGGCCGGAGGGAATCTGCGCTCCCGGGGGGTCGCTGCCCGGAGTGGGAATCCCAGGAGGCCGCACTGGATGTGTCCAAAACCCGGGACACGGGGCAGGGCACGGCAGGACCGGGCTGGTTTCCTGTGCTGGGGTCCCACCGCTGCACTCCGGGTGCTGGAGCTGGACTGGGAGAGCTCCTCAGCCACGGTTTCCTCAGGGACAGGGACGGGGAGCCGCTTCTCCTCTCCCTCCTGCCCTCGCCCGTGCTTTGCCACGTCAGATCTCCCCCGTGTCTGTGCCTGGGGCTCCCCCAGATCTGTCCCACAACACCCTCAGCCTCTTTATCTCCACCCCGCTCTTCACCCACATGGTGCTGGGGTTCCTTCTCCCTTCCCAGAGGGAATGTGGGAGCGGGTCTGTCTGAGCCGCAGCCACCCCTGGATATCTCCCCGTGTGCTCTGCTGAGCCACAGACCGGGGCGCTGGACACCCCTTTGTCCAGGGATTTTCCAGCCCGGCACCCCGGGGGCTTTTCTTGCCGAGCCACCCCCACGAAGGTCCAGCTCACAGCAGCGTCCTCTTGGGAAAGCTCTTGCAGTTCCTGACTCATCCCCGCCCGACTTTGCTCCGGCTGCCCTGGGAGTGTCACGGCTTGCTCAAGCTCCTGACCCCCCCCCGGGGCGTTTTTGGCCACAGTCACCCCAAAAACCCCGCCGGGCAGAGTCCTGGGCGCTTCAGAGAAACCTCTCACAAAGCAGCGGGGCTGGGAGCGGCAAAGCCAAGCCTCCAGCCCGGGCCGGGGCTTCGCCTTTCTCGTGGTTTGGCCCCGTTTTCTGCCCTCTGACTCCAAACCGGCCCGAACCGCCGGCGCGGAGCGTTTCGAGCTGCCGAGCAAAGGGAGGGGAGGAACGGCAGCAAAGCGAAAAATAATAATGAAAAAAAGAGGTGCCAAAGCCAAGTCTCACTTCCCAGGGTCTCCAAGGGCCGCCTGGGGGATGGGGGGGGGACCCCCAGGGCTCGGGACCCCCAGGGCTCGGGACCCCCAGGGCTCGGGACCCCCAGGGCTCAGGACCCCCAGGGCTCGGGACCCCCAGGGCTCGGGACCCCCAGGGCTCGGGACCCCCAGGGCTCAGGACCCCCAGGGCTCGGGACCCCCAGGGCTCAGGACCCCCAGGGCTCGGGACCCCCAGGGCTCGGGACCCCCAGGGCTCGGGACCCCCAGGGCTCAGGACCCCCACGTTCTCTCTCCCCCCGCAGGTACGAGGATGAGATCAACAAGCGCACGGCGGCCGAGAACGAGTTCGTGGTGCTCAAGAAGGTGAAGTCACCCCAGGGACCAGCTGGGAAAGGGCAGAACCAGGGGGAGAAGGGGCCAGGAGGGACGTGGGGAGTCCCGGCACCGCGGCACTGCCCGGGGCCTCGCCGGGCAGCCCCAAAAACGAGGCAGCTCCACGAGCTGGGAGAACCTCAGTGGGGGTTTTAAGCACAGAAAACACAAAGCCCGGGCTGGAAACGGTGAGGTTTCCTCCAGATCTGCTCCGTTCCCCCTCTCACGAGCCGCCGGTGCCTCCGCAGGACGTGGACTGTCTGTACCTGACCAAGGAGGAGCTGGAGGTCCGGGTGGGGCTCCTGCGGCAGCAGCTCGAGTTCCTCAAGTGCATCTACGCCGAGGTGAGAGCTCCGGGCCCCCCCTGCTCCCCCAGAGCAGGGCAGGCGGGGGGGGCCTTGCTGAGAACCCCGCGACGGCAGCCCCAAAATCCCCGGGGGGGTGTTAACAGGATTGTCACACGCCTGGGGAAGGCGAAGGGGGGCTTGGTTGTCTCCTGCATTGTTGCCTCCTAAATTCTGACCCAAACCATCCCCGGGATGGCCGAATACTTTTACTGCTTTTTTTTACTTTTAGCTTTTTTTTTTAATTTTTTTACACGATTTATTTATTTTTTTTTTTACTTTTTAACACCTTTTTACATCGCATTTTGCACTTACCATCTTTTGACTTTTTTAGCCTTTTTTTTTTTATTATTCAGAATATTTTGATGGCAGTAACGCTTCCTATTTGTATCAGAATTTATACATATATAAATTTATATATATTATATATTATATAGAATACAATATATGTTTGTATATTATATGATATATAATACATATAACATATATTATAAATTCTGATATAAATATATATTTATATATTAAATAAATATAATGTATGTAATATAGAATTAAATATACATATTATATATAATGTATAGTATATAGTATATAATATACATTATGTATATACATATAATATATTATATATATTATATACATATATACTATATAGATATATATTATATACATATAATATAGATTATATATTATATAAATATATAAATAATATATATTAAAATATATAAATATGTAATATATAATATATAATATATAATATATTTTATGTTATATATTATATATTTTATATTTTATATTTTATATTTTATATTATATGTGATATATTTATATGATATAAAAATATGTATTTATATTTATATCAGTATTTATATCAGAATATTTTGGTGAAAGCAACACTTCTGCCTAAAACATCACGAGTTTTTTAAGAAAACACACAAGGGATGGTTTGAATTCACCCCTTTTTGAGCCGAAACCCTCCCGGGGGGGCTCAGTGGGGCAAAAAGAAC